AAAAAGAAGAAGTTTTTTGTTGCTGTCTTGTTTTACTTTTTATGTATTATTTCTTGACCCTGTATTTTAATTGCTAAGTTCATGCATCTGGCAGAAGACTCTGAATGTAGAATCTTACTGAAAATTTCTACATTAAGTCTATTTCCTTAAAATATCAAAGCAGAGCTAGACTGTGTTCTCGGGGATGGCAAAAACTGACATTCCTCACACAGAGAAGGGGGAAAATCACATCTATTTTTTGATCAAGTTTGCTTCAGACAGTGGAAAGCTGCTCTAGTGGATGGAAGTTTTGCCTCAGTCTTCAGAACAGCAAGATTTCATACAATATACTTTCCAAAACAGCTGGCATAGTAATTGGATGATAGATAGCACTGAGCTGCTGCTTTGACAATAGTTAGAGAGGGAGGCTGTGAGGATTTTCAGTACTAGGCAAGGGAGTGAGTTTGGTTTAACTCCTTTAAATTATTGCTGTATATTTTAGCTCTACACATTTTGGCTACTGATTCAATGGGAAAAATTTACCATGCTAATAAAAAATATTTTGGCAATCTCTAGCTCACTGGTGATAGCTGCAGTGAAATCTATTTTGTGAAGAAAAACTTCCTGGTTTATGCACCCTGATACAGCCAGACCTGGACAAGGTGCCTGTCTCCCCACTGACGTCTGCAGCCATTCAGCTGTTGTCTTTTGTGAGTGCAGAAACATGTTTTTGAAAAGGGTATGGTGACAGCAGAAATAATTTCATGTTTTTCTTGTCAGTCACCTGCCAGCACAGTGCACTGAGGAGCCAGAGGCAGACAAGTCAAGCTGGCATGGGGGGACAAATGTCACTGTGCCTCTGGGACATGGCAAGGGTTAGAGGGGAAGGAAAGAGAGAATGTTCTGCTCAAACCCAGCAAGACTGTAGGCTGGTTCAGCCCATCTGGTCCCAGCACACCTCAGGATAGGACAGCCTTACAGAAAGAGTAAAAAATAGTTCCTTAGGGCTCCAGCTAGATCTGATGATCTGTTTTCTAATGGACAGCACTAGTCCTTGAGTACAAACTTGTAAAACCAGGTATCAGAGCCTAGAACTTTATACCTGTGTATATTCATGGCTGATGAGATCCCTTCAAGGGAGGAAAGACAAATGTCTCCACTGATAGTTTCTGATACAGTAATTTGCAAAGCGCCAGGCAGGTGGCACTGCCCTGCAATTGATATTTTTCCCTTTCTCTTTGCAATATGTATCAGGGTAGTCCAAATTAATCAAAGTTATTTCATCCCATTAAGTAAGGTGGCATTTGGTTTATGGTTTCTTTGTTACACTTCTGATAGCCTCAGATTCCAGCTACCAGAGTTTTCACGGACCCTCAGGAGCTGTAATATCAATTAATTGCTTTGTGTTTCTTGTCACTGATGCAGATTCTCCATCCTCAGATGTTGCGGTTCGTTTTGAGGTGGGGCACCCCGGGGATGTCCCCGGAGGGCCCCCTAGGCTGTGAGCTGGCTGGCAGCAGCAGGCAGGCAAGGAGACTCCACACGGCTTCTGAGGGTGCTGATCAGATGAAGGTTTATTTGGGGTCCCAACCCCGGGTACAGCATGGTTACTGAGGGAAAAGGGGGGAAGGGGGAGGGAGGGGGAGCCTCGGGGAGGGAAGGGGCAAGAGGGGGGAAGAGGCTGAGAGAGAGGAAGGGCTAAGAGCCAGACTGATCCCCTAGCACAGCTTAAGAGGGGAATTGAAGTGGGCGCGGAATCAGACTTGGGCCAATGGGATTGCAGATACAGGAGGGTTCAGGGCAGGACCACAGGCATAGAATGTACCATACATTTCGGAGGGGTGAGACAGAGCATACCATTTAAATAAAATGGAATACAACACTCAGATTCTTGCAATAATGAGATAAAAATGTGGTTGTACTTCTCTCCAGTCAAAACGTGCTAGAGTAGTAGGCAAAGATACAGGATACAGGTACAGGATCTTGGGAGTACAAGAACTCCTAGCCAGGACATAACTTCAAGGATTTCTTGTTGCTTCTGCAGTTTCAGACTTTGCAAAATTCCTTGCACATTGCTGACCAGAAGCATGAAGAACTCTGTTTCTATGCTCAATGTACAAAAGGAAGTCCTTGCCAAGTTTAATTCTCAGTCTCAATCTGCCTTTTCCAATATTCCAGTCCTTGAACATGTTTCTTATTCCTGTCTAAGAATGAAGGATAGTTGCATGCCACTTTCTTGGAACAAATGCAGTATTTTATTAGTTTCTGGACAAGGATTCTTAAAGACTTTTTTCTGGATTCAGTTGTTGCTGTCAATTTCTTGGACAATTGATGGCCCTGATTCCTATAATCAGTTCCAAAGGAAATCTCCCAAGATTTCCATGAAACTGTCTCTTTCCCAATAATCACAGTAAGGAGCTCACTAGACCAGTGCTTCTCAATCTGTACTCACCACTTAAGCAAGGTGAAGAAATTAGTAAGTCTTTACACTTTGAATGATGTCCATACCCAGACATCTATTACATGAGATTCTTTCCTTTCCAATTTCTAATGGAAAGACCCAAAAAGGTAAAAAAAAAAAAAAAAAAAAAAAAATTAAGGTTACCCTGAGTAGAAATCACTAAGATCTGAAACATAGAACACAGTTACTACAATTTTCAAGAAGTATTGTGGAGACGATGGAGATTTGGATCAGAGTACTTTTGGCAGTAAACAAGCCAAGTAAAAATGATTTTCAGCTTGGTTTGCTCAGATGGAAGGAGGGGAGAGAAGAGAATTAGCCTGGATTTATGGAATACTGAGTTTCTGTTTAGAAATTATTTTTGGATTAGTATCTGGGCAGATTCTGTTCCAACAGATAGACTCTAAAACAAAATGATTATGACCTCTTCGAAAAAAAATTAGCAAGTTTTGTTTAGATAGCAGTTGAAGAAAGTAGAAGATATAGGAAAATTAAAATTTTTCCTATTATCAGCAATCTGAGGCATCCCTGAGACATAGGAGAGTAAGAAGTAGAGTTGATCTAAAAATTAGGTCGTTTTTGCTTAACAGTGTATCTATTAAAAAAAGCCTGAAAAGCAAGACGTGTGCAAAAATTGAAGTTTGCAATGGCCATTATAACATTGTACATAGCATTGTGAGAAACAGATTCTCCTGATGATTTTTTGCAAGATGTCATTTTGAACAATACAGCAGGTATTCAGTAGTTATCTCAGAAAATAGAAGAAATGTGTCATCATGTGTCAGAACCTCTATTTACAATGCAAATTAGAGAAGATAATTTGACATTGATGAGTGTATGAATAAAACCTATTCTACAGATTCTTTACTCTTAAGGGCTGAAGAAAGAATAAAAGGAGAAATTTCTAGGATAGAAGCAGAAAGATTAAAGCCTTCCTTTACAAGTTGGTCGTGCTAATACTGGAATATCACAGAAATCACAGAATGCTTGGAATCCTTTTAACTACCCAGGTTATCTCTTGGTCCAAAAATGCAAAAAAAGGTGTAAAGTAGCAGGGATCTACACCAGCAAGCAGGGAACTTACCACCTAAGGGAAGAATAAGCAACCTTGGACCTATCACAACCTGAGTGTGTACAAATAACTAAGAATAAAAGCAAAGTGAACACAGAGCTGCTAATATTTACCCTACAGAAGCACAGGCTCACAGAAGGGCAGAGTAAAGGATTAAGCAGTCATCATTAGCACTCCACATTCTCTAGAGTGCCACTGACAATACCCCAGCAAGGCTTGGTCTGGTGAGCTACAGCAAAAGCTGTGAGGTAATCTTTTCAAAACAGTAAATGTTTCAGTAAAAGGAAAGCAAGACAAGCAGAAAAGGCAGGGATGCAATCTGTGCCTATGGAGTCAGACGGGCATAGCTTATCTCAGATAAGCTTCTGGAGGATCTCGAAGAAGCAGTGTCTGCTTCTCACTCCCTGAGTGTTCTCTTTTAACCCAACCCTCATTTTCTAGTCTTCCTTTTCCTCTCCTTCACTTCCTCCATTCTTGTTTAAAACTAAAAGGCAGCATTGCTAGCAGCAAACTTTTTCCACCTATGTGACATTGCTGTCTTGAAATACCACTGCATGGACAATCTGAAGGTAATGAGTCTTTTCCAGGGTGCATTTTCAAGCAGGTAATCTTGAATTAGCCCATTGTAGTTTTCTCACCATGGTATAAAGATCTCTAGTTGTTTCACATAAAGGCAGGCAAATTAGTAAATGAGGTCTCAGGGAAGAAAGCACTGCATCAGCAGGCAAAAAACAGGTCCCTCAGGAATCCTAAAAACCAGGCAGAACTTCTTTAAAATAAAACAATGAACTAGAAGGAACACAGAGAATAAGAAATAACCAGTCTATTTCCTTAAGGGACAGCACAAAGGAAGAATAAAGAGACACAAAAAAGAAATGTACCGTCACAGAATAAAATGCCGAATTTAAAGTGCCTTGTGGTAAAAGTAATGTTTTTTCTTGATATTTTTTTTTTCCCATGACTGCTAAAGGTACACTTAGGGGCGTTTTGGTGGGGTCTTTTTTGAATTCTCAAGCCTCAGAAACAGAACTGTACTATACTTTCCCTGCCTTTGCTGAGTCTTTCCTGAAAGTGTTGGAGCTCTGATGGGAATGACTGAGAATTCTTTAGCCTTCTGAAGACAAGCCCCAAATGAGGTCTTTGCGGACAGCCACACTAAGTTTCAAGGAGACCAGAGGCGTGCTTAACACTCCCCCCGCCTCGCCCCAGACCTCCCTTCTCCCGCTCCCCTACAGGATTCCTCCCTTCGCCTGCGGCAGGAGCTGAGCTGCTGGAGGTGCTGGAGCAGCTGGAGGTGCTGGAGGTGCTGGAGCAGCTGGAGGTGCTGGAGGTGCGCGGCTCCCCTTGGGCGGCGCTGGCCGGGGGCTGCCCGGCCCGGTGTGCCGCTCCCTGCCCGCGGGTGGAGGCGGGCAGCCCTCCCCGCCCTCCGTCCCTCCCTGCTCCCGCCCCGTTCCCCGAGCCCGGCAGCGCTACGGGCGGGGGCTGCCGCCTTCCCGGCCCCGCGTCCGCCGAGCCCCGCGGGGAGCGGAGCGGCCCCGGCCCGGCCATGGGGCTGCGCGCCGCCGGCATCCTCGGCTGCTGCTGCCTGCTGCCCCTCGTGCTCCCCGCAGCGCCAGGTAAGGCCGGGACACCGGCACCCTCTGCTCGCGGGAAGGCCAGGCGACTTGGGAAAGTTTGGGGAGCCCTCCCGGAGTCCCTCGGCGGCAAAGGCATCGCCAGCCCTCGCTCCAGCCGGAGATGCCGGTGTTCTCGGGAAGCTTTTCCTTGGCAGCGGGCGGAGCGCGTTTCTCCTGGCGTTGGCGCAGGGTGTCAGGGGCTAGCGGGAATCTTTCAGAGGATGCTTGGTGCAAATGTTTAAGCAAGCAAACAAACAAAACAAAAACCGCGACTGAGGTCTCTTCGCCGTAACTTGCGTTATTTATGCATGATTTAATGAAAATGGTTATTTTCATCCGATGTAGGGTTGAATTGAATTCAGCACTTTTACTGTAAGTAGTTTGAAATGGATTTTTGGTTTTTTTCTGACTGAAAGTACTTCTGTGTTGCAAGTAGTTCTGAAACAATGCTTATGGAGTGGCATGTCGTGAAACAACATCCGTGAATCTGCTCTGACATTGCCCCTTTAAAATGGTGTGTAGGGATATTGCATAGACTTTTCGTGTGCTAAAGTAACTTTGTATTCTTTTGTGATTAATTCTGTATGTCATTTCACTTGCCCTATAGCAGCATTCTATAACACGTTCCAGATTAGGTTAATTTAAAATTTTACTATGCAAAAATGTATCTGAAGAAAAAAGAAAAGGAACATTTTGCAGTCTGAGTTCTTTCAGAACATCCATAAAGTGTACAGGATATGATGTGGCGGTTTTTGTGCTGATTTTTCTGGTTTGATGTTATAAATCTCTTCTTCCAGGCGTGAACTGTAAAGCTGGCTGCCATCCAGAGAATGGATTCTGTGAATTTCCCAGTGAATGCAGGTAAAAAAATCTGTCAGACAGGGATGTTAGCACAGGAGTGGTCAGCTTCAATAATTCGTAGTCCTGGTAAGAGAGATAGAAACTGAAATTGTTTGGTCTCTGAAAATATGGAAGTGTAATGAAACAGCACTCTATTAGGATACAGTAACTGGAAAGCATGGATATTTAGATACCTCTTTAGTTTACTTTTTCCAGTATGAAGTATTTATATTGATTAGTTGGGGGGGTTTTCTTGCTGAATGAAATTGTTTTCTTCACATAAACGGCTTCTAGTATCCCAGAAGCACTGATGGTATGCTTTTGTTCAAATAGTACAATTTGGTGTGCAAAAGTTTATTTATTGTGCATTTGTGAACCAAAAAGGGGGGCATCCTTGTAATTATGTTTATTAAAAATAAACTCTGTTTCTGTCTTGTTTTTTATCTCTTTCAGGTGTCAGCCTGGCTGGCAGGGTGCACTTTGTAATGTGTGTGTTCCTTTCCCTGGGTGCTTGCACGGCAGCTGTGCCAAGCCCTGGCAGTGCATCTGTGAGGAGGGCTGGGTTGGCAGCCTCTGTGACATAGGTTTGCACATCCTTTTCTCTCCTTGAATGAGTGAGGGGAAGCAGCCCCATCTGGTGTTGGAGGCATGAAAAATCCTTCTGGAGAACTAATTCTGAAATGTTGAATGTTAGCTCCAGATAATGAGGAGGTTCTGGGCAGCAGCACATAAACCTCGAACTTGCATAATAATTTAGGCAGAAGCAATGCAGTCTTTTTTGTAATTGGGCATATATGTGAGCCAAGTGTAAATTCATTATATTTTAAACAGTAATTATCAGGGACAAGGCCAACAAACAACAGCTCCCTTCTTGTTGTGCAAGCCCTTCTAATCAAAATACAAGTTATCTTGTATATATTAAATAATTTTAAATATTTACGTAGCACATTATATATCTATGTATATGCTATTTTCTTGGTACTTGTTGAAAGGAAAACATTGTGCTTATTTTTTCCTTTACTTAACCCAGTGATGATTCAGTGAAGTAACACTACTATAACTGAGAACAAGCTCTTCCTGAACAAACTGCCATTTCCCCCTCAGGTCTGAGGGAAAAGCACAGCTCTGTGCCAGTCAGAATCAGCCAGCTTAGCATGAGCAAGCTGAAGACTCAGGTCTGAGGGAAAAGCTCTGTGTGCACGCTCTCACCCTTTGCCAGTCAGAATCAGCCAGCTTAGCATGAGCAAGCTGAAGAATTGGCCTTTGTTGAGATGGTTTATTTTGGCTGACACAGGCAAAAGTTCAGTCAGAGAGATCTGATGGGATGGAAACCACATGAGCATCCAGGAGCAGGCACTGCTCAGCCCACACAGCTGCAGCTGCGAGAGGACGAGTGTCCAGGGCCTCGTTTTCTCTTCATGCCTTTCAGGCTTTTGTTGCTATATGGCTTATAATTTATAGAGTATGCATGAGATCTCCAATACATAGCCAAAGTGGAGATAGATGACAGATTGAACTGCATAAGATTTTCAAGACGACTAAAAGAACAAGAAGGTTTTAGGTAGGTCACGTCTTTGCAGTGACATGGAATTTAGTGCAAGGCTATCAGGTATTCATTTACTCATCAGGTTTTGCAGCCTGTGCTCACTGACTGCAAACATTAGCAGAGAGAGGCTTCCTAAAGTCACTCCTGGTATGTTTGCAGGAGCTGTGCTAGCAGTGCAGACATCTGTGGTGCAGACGTGACTCTAAACTCTCAGATGTTGTTCTGGACAAGTCTCACAGATGTCTTTGTACCTGAGACAGGCACCAAGATTCTCATTACAGTTAATGAGGAGGAATGAGTCCTTCTCTGATCTACAGTCAGAGATTTCTAAAGCTACACAAAACAATCTCCCCTCTGCCACCTTAGGAGGCTCGGTTCTTTTGCTTATCACTGAATGCAAAGTTCCACATTTTTAAAGGTAGCATCTTCACAGCTACTTCTAAAAACTTTAATTGTATAGCTGAATTTTTTAGTAATGATATATCTTTGCAATTCTGAGCCTTGCAATGTTTCCCTCTTGCAATTGCTAATTAGGATGCAAAATAATGCATTGAAAATTGGACCCACATCTTTATGAAAAACATTAATTTAACACACACTCATTAAGGTAATCCTATAATACCAAAAAAGGTATTCCTTGCTTAAGTGCAGGAACTACTCTTTCTCTCAACACTCAGAGTCATCGCAGAGTCTTCTTTGCTGATTTGAATTTAGATTTGAATTTAGATGAAGAACTGCCAAGAATTTTCAGCCAAAAGGATAACTATTTTTTCATCTGAAGAAATGTTATGTTGATAGTCTTTTATCTCAGTGGGTTTATCTACTTTAAATGCATTGTTTGCCATAAGGGATCAAGAGAAGGGTGCTCCTCCTCTTCTTCATGCTATTGGAAAGTTGATAGAAATTGTTATCCTGACCCAATAAACCACTGAAACCTCAAATGGACTATTGCTCAGCCCCTGATCCCATCATCCTCTGCCAAAAGCTGGTGTCAGTTTCCTGCCTGTATAAAGTCATTACAGGTAGTTGCAGTTAATTTACAGGTATCATTAAATGAAAGTTGGCCAGTTTAGGAAACAGTAAGGAAAAACCTAGAATGGAAAACTGTGGAAGGATCTGAAGTGCATTGGCCACTATAAAAAACTGAAATATTTCTAAAACAGAGATAGAGTCTGAGCAGTTAATTTGCTTGCTAAGCATGGGAGGAAAAAAGATGATTTGGACTGGTGATGATACCTCTTCTCTTTTGTAGAAAAGTAAGTATATGGGTATGATCTCCTTGGCTTTAATCATGGAACTTCCTTTCTGGTGTAGTTTTAGATCACCAACTGGTTTGCTAATGCCTCTGATTGCATAGCTGTTTTTAATACAGGCAACCTGGTTCTCAGTTCAGGACAAGAACGACCTTCCTAGTAATTTAGAGACATGCAGGTTATGGGTTGGGCTTGATCCACTGTGAACACATAGGGCAGAATCAGTGGTAGCATTTGTGAATATTATTGCAGTCACATGGACAGACAAGGCACTTGAAGGAAAACATCTGTGAGTTGGTCTTGGCATTAACACTGCTGGTTAACCAATTGGAGCCTGTCCAACTGGCTCCATGATGCCATGGCATCTTCTCATCTTGTGGAAACACAGCCTTGAAATCCAGTGTGTGAACCAGGCTGCACAGCACAGAGTTTCCCTCTGCAGCTGATATACACTGCACAGTGCAGGAACCACATCAAACACTGACCATAACAAAGGGAAAATCAATTGAGTCAATTTGATTCCAGGACAAAAATGAGAGCCCAGTCAGAGTGTTTGATCCAGCTTGCTAAATCAGATCTGTCAGCCTGTCACCCCTGGCTGTGCCTACACAGTCGTGTTAGCAGGTCCACGACCTCCTGCTGGAATCCTGGCCTCAATTGGGCTCAAGAGCCAACATGCAGTGTGAGCTGGGAGTAAATTGTCCTACTTGTCACCAGAGTGCTTTGCCAAGGCCACATGTTGGCAAACTCATCAGAGAGTACAGGTGGAGTCTCTAATGCCTGTGCTATGAATGCATGAGGCAGGGGCTAAAAATGTTCTGTGACAAACTACTACTGAGCATATCTTCCTCATGAAAACACTCAGTAATCGCTTCCTGCACTGCAGCATGAGAGCTTCGTTTGATGGAACTATTAATTATGGGTAATATGATTGAGGCCACTCATAATATATGCATAAGTGTAACATCTTGTTTTTTTGCATTTTCATCTGTTACCACTTGGTGGTTGTCCTTATGAGAGGTAAAATAAAATAGAGAAAAGGGGATCATTGAGGCTATTTATGTATTATGTTTTAAAAGAACCTGATACAACACCCTTTTAAGATGTGTTTTAAAATTAAATGCCTGACATAATTAGTGACAGTAATGTATATATATACATACCTATTCTTATATATATATATATATATATATATATATATATTTCAGAGAGTTTCCATGCACCTGCATCAAAGTTCATGTTTTCTCCTCCATCAAAGTACACTCTTTATTAGCTGCCTTTAAAGTCTGTGAAAATAGCTGGCAAACAACACTGCTTCAAAAATAATTCAAGATTATTTTGGTCCTAGTGAAAATTGGAGTTTTCACTCAAAGTGCATGCTAAGTCATCTTGCAATGGGAACAGGCTAATGCATTAGGAAATAGAATTTTTGTCCAGGGAAGATTGTATTTGAAAGCTAAGGCTGTTGTTTCCTGTGGTTAAAATAAATCCCTTTTCATCTTCTTAGAAAGTGTGTGTATGTATATGTGAGGCATCAGATACCTTCCAGTCAGCACTTCTCTGCAGCAGCTGCAGTAGCTTGCTAAAATATGCACTTGTTTGTTTATTTAGTTTTAATTATTTTAAAATTTCAGTAATCATTTGAGTGGGAAGTGTCTCAGCAGGGCAATTGCAAAGAAAATGAGATGTGTGACTTTGGGTCCAGACATCATACAGCTCTGTGTTCTGGTACAGTTATATAAGGGTTGAATGTAGCCCAGCCAGAAGATGAAATTTTAACAGATTTTTTTTGTAAATTGCTGATCCCTGTTTTTATGAAACATTTGTTCATAAGCACATAAGGATATGGCCAGGAAGCAGGGAGAATTCCCCATTCCTGATTGCTTTATCAGAATTCTGTTCATAGAGAAGCCAAGATTGTGAAAGTATGGCTAGGCTATGCAGAAGTTCTTTGTCCCATAGTAATATTTTATTTCTAATACTACTTATTTATAGAATGGAGCAATTCAAACACATATTGCAGGCAGGCGCTAGAAGGAGAGAAATAAGCTGAAATTGTTGCAATACTTGAACAATCTGAACTCCATTTTAACAAAGGGGGGGATAGATCGGAATTTATAAAATGCAGGATGAAGTATTGTCAAAGTTATATTTTGTTTGAAGTATTGTATACCATTTACTAACTCTTTCTCATTAGATTAATCAAGCCCTGTTGGGTATTTTTAAACAGATATTCACCCATGTTCAGCAAAGCCCTGCACCAATAATTCAACGTGTATAGAGACTGGTGATGGAGGATATATTTGTCTCTGTGCCCAGGGATTTACAGGAAAAAACTGCCATCTCAAGAAAGGACCCTGCATTATTAATGGGTAAATATTGATTTCTAACATGCATTTAAAATCTACGCTTCTATTATTCAGAATTCTTTGATAAGTGGAAGTGTTAAAAAACACAATGTTTCTGATAGTTGCTGATATTATCAGACTTTACAAATCTAATCTATTAATATTTTAAAGACTTAACAGATTATCAGTGTGGCTTTCAGTGCACAATCTGAGTACTAAAAATGCTAATTTGCATATTTTATTGTGGTGAATTTATGCCTTCTCATGATTTTCACTAACAAACTTGAGGTGACTCCCATCCTGTGTTCTCACCTCTAGTGAGGGATAATTTATACACAGCACAATAAGAACAGTAGTTAGCACAGAAGCTGTCTGCATGAAAACACCTAGCCCACCAGTCTGTCCTTTTTTCTTAACCAACATAAAATAATATGGTTATAATAATAGTTAACTGAAGGAGACAGTCTCACTTCCATCAGAGCAGGGAGACCTTTGCTCTCTATTCTTTAAAAGAAATGGGACATTAGGAACAGCAGTAGGCTGAGAGAGGTGATCCCTCCCCTCTGCTCAGTCTTGCTGAGGCACATCCAGAGTGCTGGCTCCAGTTCTGGGCTAACCAATGTAAAAAGGACACAGCCATACTGGAGTGAGTCCAGTGAAGGGCCATGGATATGATTAAAGAGCATCTCTCCCATAAAGGGATACTGAGAGCTGGGTCATTTAGCCTGGAGAAGAGCAGGCTCTGAGGAACTTGTCCATTGTGTATGGGCACCTGATGGGGGGAAGCAAAGATGACAGAGCCAGACTTCTCACAGAGGTGCTCAATGAAAGGTCAAGAGCCAATGGGCACAGGCTAAAGAACTTCCAGGAAAGTCACTAGTAGAACTGCTTGAAATAAGGAGGACCTTTCAGTGCTAGAGAAAGTGTGAATTTGGGATTCTGTTCAAATCTTGAAGCATCTGCTGTCTTCTAGACTTCTCATCAAAGTTCTCATCAAAGTTCTGATCCCATAAACATACAGAATGTCTTTATGGTGGATACAAACTTGGTAAACCTATCACCCTAAAATCACAGTTTTCTTTTAGGAGATTGCCTTCTTGATCTCTTGCTCTATATGGATACGCTCTGGTTTTCTTTTTGCTCAGTGATAGATAATTATGAATATTCAAATCTACCTTATGACTGAATCTTCCTGAAGACTTGTAGACTCTTGTTTAAGAAATATTAACACCTCTCACTCTCTTTGGCAAGAATTGCCATTCTTTCATGACTTCATGTCAGTAGAATTTTTTTGTCATCACTTTTATTTGGAAAGTCAACCCAGAAAAAACTCGCACAGTTTTTTCTGGGTTGACTTTCAGCCTCTAAGATAGCTACTCTGATTTGCCTATTTTTCTTCATTGACAATGAGGAAATTAAAGTTCCTTGAAAGAGCCATAACTCACATCCAAGCTACTTGCCTAGTATGGGGAATGTGAATAGGTTTTTCTTATTTTCACCTGTAGACCAAATATTTCAGTGTGGACATATATACTAGTTATCCCAAAAAACAGGTGAGTTCCAAAAATACAGCATCAACAAAATAATACAGATTAGTTCCATGTACTTCTTTAAACACCTTATGGTTTTAAGTTGCTGAAACTCCTTTTTTTTTGTGTTGGCGCTCTGGTTTTGGACTGAATGCTGATGAACTAGCCTGGAAATCATGAACATTTTTTTCTCAAGAAAGCCACATACTTGAAAGGATGATTATTTTTCTCTAGGAAGCTGTCTTTTTCAGGAAAATTAGCAGCAGGCACTGCAAATCTGCATTTAATTCAAAAAGACAACTGTTGTCAGCATAAGCACTCCATGTCTGCTAATAATAATTCACAGTCCACCAGAGAGTGCATCCCACATCGCAGAAAGAGACTTCATCAGATGGTCCCCTTTCATTCACATCTCAATTCCTCTCTACCTCAGTGGTGATGTTAAAAATGTTGATATTACTGAGCATTGCTGATGGCTTCTTAGTTAATTTTCACAGATAGAACCAGGGCAATTCTCAAATCAAAGTGTTTATTCTAGTCTGTTTACATATATCTGCATTAGTGACCTCTGTGTGATGTTTTGAGGTTTCTGCTTTGAAGCAGAGCAGTGCTTTCTAAAAGAAACCAGACTATCTGGGAAGCAAAGAATGGTATGGAATGCTTCCTACAACTAACCCTTCATGTACTACACCTTGCTGTGTTAAATGCCAAAAATGCAAAGTAGAAGAATTTACTCAAGGAAATTATTATTAAGGCTTTATTTATTTAAACATATTTAAAATAGACAAATGCAACTCAGTAATAAATAAAGAAAAAATTCAAAATTCTGCATTTTCCCCTTAACTCTTTTTATTTCAATATTTTACATTTCTGAAAGTTTCAGAAAAAGGTTTGCACTTAGGTTCTCCAACAATTTCTTCCCATTTCCCTAGAAAGTACTGAGATTCAACCCAGCCATGAAGGTTCAAATTTCTACACATTTTCATATCCAAACCAGCTTGTCCAATTTTTCGTGGGACCTGTAAAGCTAAGGGAGAGTGCTATGTTCTCCAAGACAGCCATAACCGCTGAAGGAATGTATAACTCCAATTTCCGTATTTTACTTAAAAAGACATAGTGGCTGGTTAATATGTTGAAATTCCTTACCTCAAGTTGTCACTAACCACGTCTATGTCAAATACTGCTCCCAGACTTCCAATATGTTCTTTTAGTGCTTTTTTACCCAGCCAACATCTAAAGTGAAGAACAGTACTAGAGGACAGAGCAGTTAATGTGGAAGCTGCAGAAAACAGACAGATGATTCCTCTGCCAGAATGTTCAGTCTCTCCTGATGGGTGGCTGCTGAGTGTTTCAGCCCCCATGAAGCCAGAGGTGCTTGGAGCAATCTCTACCAAAGGTAGTCCCAGAGCAATGGTGACTAGCCCAGCCTTGTTATGACCAATGATCAGGGACCATTTGTAGTCAGGAGCTTATACCTCTTTCACAGTCATCTCATCCAGACATCAATAGATCTTGTAAATCTCTGTGTCCCACCATGGAATTCCATAACAGCCTGTTGCTACTGTCTGCTATATATGTGAAATGTCTGCATCTAAAGCTGTGATCTTCATTACCCCTGGGACTTTGCCCTGAAAGTGGGGGGCCTTAAATAACAGCTTGGACTTTTCAACTGTCAGACAGTACTGTGCTATATGTCTTCTTTCTGAATACATAAGTATTCAGAAAAGTTTTGTTGTCAAAGAGGCTCATCCTAAACTTTGCCAAGTATTTTTCATATTTTACAAAGTGAGTTTTAAAAGCTTTGCTGATGTGTGATGAACTGCCATGAAAGTTTGAGGGTTTGAGGTTTATTTGTAAACCTGGGACTCAGGGACCCTTGTCAGCCAGCAGGGACAGCTAAAGGACCAAGTGCACTCTGCATAGATCCCCTGAATTGACACATTTGTGCCAGTCAGTGGGTGGCCTCATCTTTTGGCATCACTCTCAGTAAGGCACAGTTGCATTCTAAAGAGAGAAAAGATCTCTCAGTTAATACATGTCACCTAAAACATAATGTCAGGCTACTAGTTGGGAAGTACTAAAAGAGTTTGTAGGAATATTCAGTTTCCTATGGTCCTGCTGTCACATTACAGCTGTCTTTGTCCAGGCTGAAATTCACTCATTGATATTTGTTATTATAATTATATCTATCCAAAATTTTAGCTGAACAAGAGTTTATAGGAAAGTATCTGTTTGCTTCTAAATTTTTTGTGTAATGGAACACAGATGGGCAGAATAAAACCAATCAGCTTTACACCTAGCTGCTATGGCACTGTTTTGCCCTGCCAATACAATATATAGATTATTTTAGGAGTAATCAGGTAGAAAGGAAGTAGTCATGGCTGCTCATATCTTTGTTCTCTCTTGTCTAAATAGTTGCTCAGCTAAATAGCTCCATGCATATAAAAATAGTGAGAAGCTTAATTTGAATAAATGTTTGAAATATCTTAAAATCCCTTCACAGCTCATTGGGTTGAATTTATATACTGGTGTACAAATCCTGCCCAAAGGGTCAGCAGCAGATATTATAATCTGTATTGACAAAGCTGTTGAACAAACTCATTCTTTATTCAGCTTCACTGACTTCAGTGCATTTGCATTTGGAATTGGCTCTTCTAAAGAAAAACCAGCTCTTTTTATTATACATAGTGTTTCCTAACAGTTTCTACCTTTAAACTTCAATTTTGTCTCTGTGTTTGTATGGTCCTAGTTCTCCCTGCCAGAATGGAGGAACATGCATTGATGACAATGGTTTTGCACCCCATGCTTCCTGTCTGTGTCCTTCTGGTTTTGCTGGCAACTTCTGTGAAATAGATAGAGACGACTGCGAATCCAGCCCATGTGAGAATGGAGGAACATGTACAGATGTTGGTGTGGGTTTCAGCTGTTCTTGTCCCCATGGCTATACAGGAAAGCTCTGCAGCAGCCGTGTCACTTTCTGTGCAAGTGGCCCATGTGAGAATGGAGGGACTTGCAGCGAGCATCCCCAGGGAGGGTTCGAGTGCATCTGTAAACCAGAATTTGTTGGCGTGACCTGCAAACATCCCAGCAAAAACACCAGCCTCTCTGGAATGAATATGGAGACAAAGCATATGCAGAATTATAAGCCACCCTCAAAAGCTCACCATAGATCAGTGCATCAACAACAAGAAATCCTGAAGATAACAGTGAAAGAAACAATTCAAAATGCAGATCCCTTACTGAGTAGAAGCCAGGTGATATGTTTTGTTGTGCTGGGCTTGCTTACGTGTCTTGTTGTATTGGGTACAACCGGGATTGTTTTTTTTTCAAAATGTGAAATGTGGCTTGCTAATGCCAAATATAGTCATCTCCTGCGCAAGAAAAAGAACTTTTTTCTGAAGTCTAACAATGGGGAAAACCTCTCAGTTAATATTATCTTCCCAGAGAAGATCAAATTGACTAATTACACTAAGAACTACACTGCCATCTAGGCCCTTGAAAGCCAAGCAGCATCTTGCAACTTTTCATAGCAATATGTAAAATTTATTGCCTGTGTTTGGCCTCAGTATTTGTGTGTATATTTGCTGTAAATTGTTCTGAGTGACAATGAAGAAATGTAATGTATCTGTCTTGCTAAGGATTTTTTCATTCCTTAAAATAAAAGGTGAAAAAAGAAAAAAAAAACCAACAGGATTAAAAAGCAAGGAATGTTATTTTAATTTCTCTTCAAGGCAGCTACTTTTTGTAAAATAAAAAATAACTTATCACTGCAACTGTATTGCAGCTTTTTCGTCTTGTGCACAGTTCATTTGGCAAGTACCTGCAAATTACTCAGTAATGCTTTTTGTTTTTTTTTTTTTTTAATAAACAGCAGTAAGGGCTACACTGGTTTATTTATTCATTTCTAAACCTTACTCTACAGCAAAATCTGCAACAAGTGTCCATGCTGAACTCTTTTGCCATCTGATAAAGGCTTTAAAATTGTAACCAGCAGGAGCAAATTCACACTGATATCTCACCTATTCTGTCAGTGTTGCTATTTTTACATGCTTATAAAAGAGATTCTATACAATCTTAGAGGTCTTTGGGATATTAATTTCAGGTTAAAGGTCTCTTGCTTGAAAACCTGCATCTATAAATTGTTCTATTTATCTATTTTAAAATGTTAAAAAGGTGTTCAATGTCTTTCTTTTTAGAGACCTAGCAGAGATTAAAGGATCAGATTCTGACTTTTCTATAAATACTCCTTAAAGACCTCTGCTGAGTGAAGTATCCTTCATGACTGTCATAGGAAGAAAGGAAAATATGTCACGTGTCACCTGAAATAGGACAGCTGCTTTTAATCCTTCACTTCTGCTTTTTCTGACACATTTCAAGGAGAGAACAAGGTTTTCAAGAATCAAAAGCAGCAGTGGCAAACAGGCAAAGGGTCGTGAAAGCCATAAAATCAGGGGCCTGAGGGCAATGAGAACTCTTAACCTCCCTGGGGAGCCTCGCCTGGCGCTCTCACCCACCTCCTGCCCGCAGGACCATTTTGGGTCAGCCCAGTACTGCTGCTTGTGGTCTGAGCTGTGCTGTGGCCATGCTGGGCTCCACCTCTGCCTGCACTTGGACTCCCCGCTGTAGCTAGCCCATCTGCTGAAAGGACCCTTTGGACTTTCGGCTCCAGCCCTGTCTCTGGCCCTGTCTGCTTCTCCTGCTGCCAGGAGCCCAGGGGTGGCCCCGGGAGCTGCTCCATCCCCTGCTGTGTCTGGAACTGCCGGTGGGCCCCGTTACCAGCACAGCTCTGGACGTGCGAGCCTGTGCTGTTGGTCAGGCCGCGGGTCCATCTGTCCCACCCTGGGCATGGCCCTCCTGGCCCTCCCAGCTTCTTTTTCTAAATGGCCAGACGACACTGACTGCTTCCTGGAAGAAAAACAATCAAAAGAAAAAAACCCACCAAAACAACAAAACCAATCACTTGCAGTGCCTAAAGGTGTCTTTAACTGCAGGTTTGTAACAATTTATTTCCCCAGCCACCCTAGAAAGGAATGATTAGCAGCTTCTCAGCTCTCATAACTATGCTATTCCCAAATCCATTAACAGCTGCTCAATTAAAAAGAAAAGCCTTAAAGCACATACATGGCATTATAGTAGGATTTTTTTTTGTTAATATCTCTCTGAATTGCTACAAGTATATAGCAAGTTTGCTGTATTGTTGATAATATTTGAACATATCACAGTATTACGATGTAGTGCTAAGGGGAAAAAATAGTATTCAGATACTACTGTGGAAAGTGTTGAATTCCAGATAACAGGGTGAAAATTTGAAATGAAGAAGATGCTCCTTCCAAAGGACTTTCCTTGTTGAAAAGTCAAACATTTATCAAACGTAGCAACTTTTCAGTCAGCTGTAGGGAAGTTTGAAGGAGACTTAGAAACCCAGATGAATATAAAACTGGGTAAGCAGAGTTGAATTTAAAGCCACAAAACATGAGTCTTAGGAGTTGACACACTTCTTTTAAAGCAGTATGTTTTAAACATATAATTCAGTATTGTGCATTTTAACATTATTAGAAATATGTTAGGGTTTATTTGGTGATAACTAGAAACATGCATAACTCCATTGGGTATCTTGCATCTTTGATTTAAAACCAGTTACAAATTTAGGTATCTGCTAGGAGTCAGTGGTTAAATTCCTGAGCTGCCTGTACTCCTTCCCCACACCTTTGAGCAGAGGCTTCCTTACCCCTTACAGCTTGGTCTGCTCCAGAACAGAACAAGGCTTTAAGTAACAAAGCTTTGTATTTTAAACATACAAAACATAGGAAGTTATAATTCATATCTATAAACTGTCACAGTTTTTATTTGGCCATGGTGACCCAGTGGGCAGTTCCTCCATTACAGTGCATTTCTTCATATGTAGAGAGAAAAGCATTTTTGAGAAAAGGTCATTTGCACAGCATGAAAAAAAATAGATTTCAGCTCTTAGTATCTTTCCTATCATTGGTGGTCTATTGTCCTGCAACCTTCTCCAAAGGGAAAAAGTATTACCTTAAGCATGAAAGTCTGGAGAAAATAGCATCTGTCTTTGCCTTCTTTGTTCCAGGAAAGAATTAAACATGTATGTTTGTTTCTCATATTTGTGCTGTTAGTGTAGTGAATAGCTCCAAAGCCTTGTCACCACACAAGTGACAGACAACTGAGATGATAAAAAGGATTATGGATAAATAGCCTGCAACAGGTCTCCAAAGCAAGAAGATTAAAATAAGCATTGTGCATAAACACTGACATAAGAGCAAAGAGAAGGCAGAACATTGATACCAGTTCAATTATATGTTGATTCTACGTACTTTTTATCAATGGACAGAGAACAACATATCTATGGTACCCATTGCCATAGATATGTTGCCATGTCTCACATTTTGATTTTTGAATGTTCTCCTTTAATCACACAACAATGCCTCTGAGACTCAAATTCACCTCTCTGCCTTGTTTGCCTGTGTTAACCAAAAAATAAATAAGGACAACTAGGCTGAGGGATGGGTTATGACAGTGGGACTCTTTGTTAAGGGCATTAGCTCCTTCTTGTCCCCAGCACATGGGAGAACATATTACTATAATTTTTTTTTATTTTAACCACCTCCCTTTGAGCTATTTTAGCCTCTGTATCTGTTGTTAACAAAAAAAAAAAAAAAAAAACAAAAAACCCCAAAAAACCCAAAACCAACAACAACAACAAAAAACAACAACAACAACAACAAGAAATTGTTTTTTTGAGATAGGTCATGGATGCTTTTCCAGTTTGGTTTGATTGTTTTGGGCTTGTTTGGGTGGATTTTGGCTTTGGGTTTTTTTGGTGGGGGGGAATGTTGGTTTGTTTTTTTTCTGGGAAGGGGGAAAAACACCATGGTAGGGGAGAGGTCTGTCTGCTGCAAAAGTAGAACATATGAAGGAACAATCACTGAATTCTGGAGAAGGATATCTGAATGGTGAATACATACATGGTTTTTCCTTTCACTGCCATTCTTGGTGTTGGCCCATAAACCAACAATGTATGCACTGCTTTGGATCAATGAGAATCACATCTGTAAGTGCTAAACCATCTGCTGGTGATACATCCACAGCAGCCCAGCTAGTTTGCTCTTCTATGTTGATAACATGAGGTTCTGTTTTCAAAGAAATATTTAGAACCAGGTGGACCACAGTATTCCTATTTAAAACAGACCATCAGCTTTTGAGAGTGAAGCAGTGTTAAGGACTTGGCTGCAGGAACATGTATAAACCATCAAACCATCCCTGAAAATAACAGGGCAGTTTGCACTGGCCCAGTACAATACTTTTCACAGCTATGTCATTCCCCCTCCAAGTTCTCAAATTTGCCTTGGCAAATTTATTTACTATCACAGCCTTAAGGGCAAAACAATTTGCTATAGATATGGAATGCTTTTTGTTTTTATAAATACAGGACCTTCCTGGCAGAACGACACGTGTATGCATCCAGAGAACATGAAATCATTGCACATGTACTATACATACATTGTGAATTTTCCAAAACACTTCTCATTTACTATGCATTTCTTGTGAATGAGGCATGGACAAATCCTGTGTTCCTGGAAGTCACACAGCCTAGGAAAATATCCAGTTATGCCTGGCTTAGGTGGAAGAAATGTCTTGAGAGAAGAATTTTGTGGTTGCTCAACCCATATTGGAGTCGGCACTTGAGGTCCACAAAGACAGGGCAGCTTTGTTCCATCTCTGTGGCCATTAAATGAGAGAAACCCAGAAAATTTACTGGGATTTTGTCCTTTTTAACATTTTGTAGTGTAATATTTTGAAGTTTCTCTAAATTTTCTTGAAGGAGATGAAGGTACCTTTAAAAATTATTCTGGTGAAGGTTGTTTTAAAACTTTGCAAGAGGAGGAATAAGACTTCATGTAAAGGGGAATATTTCAGTTTAAAATATAAACTGAACTGTTGATCTGGGATTTGAAGAACCATTAAATTAATTAATTTTTGTTTATTAGCTCTAAGACTCAAAATTATAATTTTTCTTGTACTTCAGTCCCCTGTAGGTCCTTGAGATGGGGAAACTGTGCTGAAGTTCATATCTGAGGGTCTCAGAGAAGCTGATGGTACACAGTGAAAAATGTGATCCTTATCCCTAGCAATCAAGACAAATTCTACAGTCACAGAGCAGCCTTCTTATATTTTCATGGTCTCTCAAAGTCAAGTCTGAGCAACTTCAAAGAGGCTAAAATATGAAAGTGATATAATATAGAAGAGGGAAGTAGCCAGGCTTAGTGAGAAATTTTTATTAGACCAAAAATGTTTTCATAACATGAAGCTTGGAGCAAAAATACTGTTTTATTCTTTGTCTCTCCATCCACTTTCCTCTTTCAAAACAATGTCCTTACGATTAGTTTCGGTCTTCTACTGTGTCTGCCCGCTTGATGGCAGCATTTGAACACAGAACCCTTTGAATCTCCCCAAAGCGTTCCCTTCGCATTTC